CAATTCTTTGAATTTCACCATTTTTAATATATTTTACTTAAAAATCTATTTGTGTTTAAATGGTTTTTAAAACCCTATTAGGTACTTGTTATTGTAACATTTTCACAGAAATTGATAAGAATTTATAAATAACGAAAAAAAAACTTCTAAATTGTAAACCAAAGTAGAACGATTTCTAGACAAGTATATGAGGTGCATGTCAGCGTTTATGCCCCATTAACTCAGCGCCCGAAACGATTGCCTCGCAACATATGGCATCCATTCTATCTAAACTTCGTTCTCATGTTATTTAACTTCATGATTATGTTGAAAATACAGTTTAAAAACCGAATATAATATATATTGGATATGAAAATGTTTTTTTTTATATTACATCGTCACGTATTTATGTATGTTGTGTAAATAATAATTATTATCTCCATTTCTTTGCTTTTTATGTTCCGAAGTTAGAAAGATTTAAAAACTAAAATAAAAATTATTTTCGTTTTGACAGTATCTATGACTTGAACATTAACGCGCATTTGGCAACTTCTCGTCCACTCAGCACGGGCAGCGGTACCGCCTATGCCTGCCACGTGGTTGCCGTAACAAAAGTGCGTTAATCTTACCATTGTACCAGCCTAATTCTGATACTTAAATACAAAATTGAAGTATGTAAGTAAAAAATACATTAAGTTGACATCACGTTATGGTACGTGATGTCCCTATTTTTAAGTAAACATCGTTGCGTCCTTATTCACGTGCGATCGTAGTTATATTGTTGACATCAGAATAACCTCCCACGATCTGATAGCGAGCTTATTCTTCGCCTTACAGTGCTTTGGTGCTGGGAACTTAATACCGTTGTAATAAGATAACAATATCTAAAAGGTTGTTGTAAGGTTAGGAGATCTAAGCGGAAACAAACGGATAGATTTCTTTAGAATTATCCGGAATAAAAATTAAAAAGTTAATTTAATCTCAATTTATTTTTTATTTATAAATTTATCATACACTGCAAAAGAGACTTATCGAATAATTATATCTAGTTTTAAGATCTTTTCTGTTTCAATTCACGTAGGTATGTTAGATAATATATAACCAACCGACATATACTTTTGTAAACATTTAAAATTTACAAATGTATTGTAATGTATTCAATATATGTACATTTGCAACAAATTACGAGTACCAGGCAGACTCCTCGAGGCGTGGGCCGCGGATCCCACAGTCTGCCATTCGCGGCGTTACGCAAACCGACGTTCCCTTGTAATTGATTATGGCGGTCCAAAATTGGCAGCTAAAAAAGTAACCCGATCCGCGAAAATGGCCATAGCAAAAACTTACCACACAGCTCACCAAACCGGGCGCCGGAACGACAGTACTACGATGACCCGTCGGTCCCCGGCAAAATGTCGCGCCATAACCGTCAGACATCATTCTACACTACCTTATAATGATTTCACACGAGGGCAGAACAGTATTTTATGAAAGCCTTGTGCCCTTCAGGTAATTTTAGGATGTCTTATCTACGTAGGTGCTAATAATTTACGTATAAAAATCGATAACATTTTAATTAAGTATACAGACAAAACATATTCGTAGTCACGAGCTTTAAACCGTAAGTTTCTGTACATTTTCTTTTGAAAGATTTACATTGTGAACTGAAATATACTTTAATTATCTTCAAAAGAGACCTATCCTTTACTCTCATGTAGCAATAAAAAACCGAATCCCGCCCTCGTCCGGTAACAGATTTATGATGTTATATAAACTGAGAATCGTTCTTCATATTTCAGCTTCGTATTACATGGGGTGACGCGCCCCATTCCGACTTTAAATCACCGGGTTCAATAAACACATGAACAATGTATCTATCTATACCTACATAACTTCTTTCTCATCAAAATATACATAAGTATACAGTTTGTGTTAAATTAAATATTTTAATACCGCAAATTTTCCGATATAAATTAGATGACAAAATATTTCTTGTAGGAAGAAAACACAAGTAATATTGAATATCTACTAGGCCCGAGGGTGTATTATTATAAATGGGTACCATAATCACGAGATACTTGCAAACTCTAAAAAGGCTTATGTTACAGATTTGAGATATTATTACCCATTGTTATCAATGTTAACGTCAAAACATTAACAACTAAAGACAACATAATATAATATAATAGAAGGTACGATGAAGACTTTGAACAAAGTATATTATATACATTGTGTTTAACGTGAACTTATTACTTACTAGCTATCGCCCACGACTCTCTCCGCGCGGAATTAAAAGGAAACTTAATTATGCCTATGTATTCTACTAGGCTATATTCTACAGTTATGTCAAATTTCAGCAAGAACCTTGCAGCCGTTATGAAGATACCTTCTAACAAACGTCTATTCAAATAATCGCAAACGTGACATAATCTTACCTAACTTTACCTAAACGTATAATTATGTAATTTGTGTTCAAATACCACAAACACTTTTACCATTATCAGTTATCATGAAAACGCAAAGAATAATACGTATTTTGCTTACTTACTATACTGTGATTTACGAGACAATAGATGGTCATTTCATCATTGGTAGCAGACATAAATTGAGAAAACAAAATGTGACTTTCAGAAAAACATGACCGAATAAATTACAAGACTGATTTTACAAACGAATAATTTCCGACTCAATAGAATAGAATTAAACTTTTATTTTATCATATTTACCTATCGCGTATAAGGAAATAATTTTAAAATGAAAGCTTCCAATGTATAATAGTATTATAAACAAGTCAGTTAATATCTTCGCAAGTGTTGCTTTGAGCTCGAACGCGCCGTCGGGCCGCGTTACCTCAATATTTTTATAATCTTTCGCTGCGTTTATTAACACTTCTGACACACTCTTGTCAAGTTCATCAAACGAAATTTAGTTATTTTCGTAACTAAATTCACATTAAACAAATTCTATTCGTAACTTTCATTTTCATAGGTATGTTCTACCGAAAACAAAAACGTAAAACCGCTAAAACAAATCATTTAGACCAGTAAACAAACTATAATCCGTATATTATTCTGGTCAATAAATATTGAATAAAGTATGAAAACCCAATAATTGATATTTTGAGTAACCGAGCTACACGGCTCTGAGCCGAAATCGGATAAATACGTGTAAAATTTCCGATTTAATGGAAATTATTCCAATAAACGAAACATTGGAAACAGGAATTCAAAAGAGGAATTCATTTAAATTATTTTCACTTTTCAAATATTGCATTATTTTTATAAAATCCGATACTATTGGAAAATAAATCACTCCGTTAAAAATGAACTAACGAATTGTTTTTTGAATTATAAATCTTTGCATCTCGATGTTCGAAGAGTGTTGTTGAAGCACCGGACCGAACATCGGTTCATTGAAATGTGGCTAGTATGATGAACTTTGGATTACGTCCGACACACGCGCGGTTTTGCGAACACGTGAGAAACCAGTTTGTGCTATTTTAGATGAGATACAGGGATTGTATTTGCCCAACTGACAGAAGAGTAATCTATGAACGAACGTCATAACCACTTTTAACCTAAACTAGCTGTCGCTCGCGACTCCGTCCGCGTGGAGATAAAAAAACTTAATTAGTGTAGCCTATGTGTTCTTTTAGACTATGTTCTATAGGTTATCAAATTTAATCGAGATCCGTTCAGCCGTTCTAAAGATATCTTCAAACACCCATCCATCCACATCACATCCATCTAAACATTCGCATTTATAATATTAATAAGTTACATAAACAGCAGCTCTTCAAGGCATAAATTCGAAAAAAATGAATAAATAGTACCCTATGTCAGTCTCCTGACTCTAAACTACCTCCTCACTAATTTTCAGCCATATCGGTAAAGCCGTTCTTGAGTTATAAATAGTGTAACTAATATCTTGAGCGATATTTAATCGTTAGGTGTCTGATGATTCTGATTCTTCCCTGATATGTATTAAGTCAGTGTTTTTTTTATTAATTAGTAAATGCCATGCTATGGTAACGCAATAAAAGTTGAATGAATAATTTATTTCTTACAGCCTCATAATAATACGAAAGTATTGATTTAATTCCGCATTCAGTGACGCATCGTTTAGTGTATTGAGCCGTTTGGTTCCGATTGAAATAACATAATAATTGATACAAGAAGTGTAATCAATTGAACGTGAAATGTAAACAGTAATCACTGATAAGTCGTTTGAGAACCAGTTCAATTGTGCATATGTTTTGTTCCACACTTACACGTATTGTTACAACAGTTCTGTAAGGAGACAAAAAATGCATCTAGATAAGATTGTTACCTCTGTTATGATTTCTGTCTGTTAAAGTACTTTGTTTGATTCATTTTGTAGCATATAATATGCGCTAATAATTTGAATGGATAGAATAATAATTTTAACAAGTTTGTGAAAGTAGATTCTATGTACAAAGTCGAACATTTTTAATATCGATTTATATCGGTTATAGTTAAATTCATATAAACTATTATGCTTTTACTATATGTGATTTATTCATTAAAAGCATTCAAGTAAGTTCTTATTTTAAAATTGAGATGGAATTCTTGTGAAGGTACGAGGCACGCAGAGTCGACCGCGCGACTGCTGCCGCCCAGATAAACGGACTGGTTTCGATATCTTGTAAAAGGCAAAAAGTTGTTTTTATTTTATAAAACGAACATACGGGAAGTCACCGCTGATAATCAAGTGAGGTAAATGCAGTTTTGACTTTTATGTGTTAACAAAATTGTAAACGTTTTGTCGGCAAAGCGACCCTAATGTATGATTAATATTAATTTGCGGTTATACAAAATGGCGGGAGATACCCTTCACACTGGCAATTTTTTAATCATTCACGACCACTTTATATCTTGGTGTTACTGATTTACTGGAATTTTTTTAGGTTCAGTAAAACAGTTCAATCATAAGAACAATAAAATATAAGAAAATATAATTTCGCGCGTGCGCAAAATTTCAAAACACTTCAGTTAACTCACCGAGATTAGCTGTCATTATGTCCTGATCTTTCGGCTTCTTTTTTCTCGGACGCCCTTTCTGTCGAGGCGGAGGCGCTGCCGCCCCGTTAAAGAAGGGCCCTTTAGGAACATCAGGTTCGACCGGCGCGAATTCAGGTGATGGATAAGGCGGGTAATGTGAGCCCGGTGGTGGCCCCGCGTAAGGTCCTGGACACATTTGAGGAGGACCGGGGACTGCCATGTGAGGCCCGTAGTCCGGCATAGTTTCGTAATGTAACCTAAAAAGAAAAAAATATCTCAATTCTATCTTTGATTGTTTTAGTTGGTATATACTAGAAACAAGAGTATTTTTGTCAGGACATGTATAAATAAAATAATAAGCCTGTTATTGTCATTTGGAACTCACCTGCAATACACTGCAGACTCTCTAATACCGAATGTGTCCCCTTTAGTAAGAGGCGTGCTGCAAAGTGCACAGGAGAAGCAATGCACGTGGAACACGAGGTCACGGGCGCGCATCACCAGCTCTGAAGCTGAGATCGGTGTGTTGCATCGAGCACACCGCTTAGATCCATATAACCTATAACAAAATAACATAACATAAGAACAAAATAAGGCTTAAGAAAAACTTAAGTAACTTAACCATGGCTAACGATTCAATAAACCGCGTGTAAAGCAGTTGGTTGTAGAAAACAAACAGTAGTAAAGCATCAAAATAAATAGTCAACTTACGCTAAAAGAGGTATCTTAAGAATAACAAACTACTGAATACACAATAATAATATGTTTTCTGCAAGTCTATTTTTAAGTAGGAAATTAAATAATAACAAATGTTATCGAACAAAGTTATTAAAATTTATAGACTGACAAAGACACTTTGTCATTATATAATTACACAAATCAAAATCGAGAGCAAACAAACTGGTCTGGTTATGTTTTCAATGTCAATGACCGATACCTACCTACTAATGAATGTAAAGTAACATGACGAGTGTCATAGTAATTTATGCAAGACTTTGTCACAAGGCTGTTTTATTCATAACAACTTCTAAACAAGTACTTAGTAAGTTAGAATCTTAAAGAAAAATTCTTGGTCCAGAAGACCGCAACGCAATATTGATGTTATAAAGAGAAAAAATACTCATATTTTGTATGAATTTTTAAAAACTCTCACCATTAGAATGCTACTTTGTGTGAGAAAATATTAACTGTCCAATAGTGAGAAGTCAGACAGCTAGTTGTACATAAAACGATAAAAGCTCATCAAAATATGTGAAACAAACATTTTAATGCTCCTAAATGAACAAGTTCATTAGAATAATGAGATTAATTATTCGAATATAATGATCGAAAATATCACATTCATAGTAGACTGGATATAACACAAACATAACTGATATACTATAAGTAAAGTTCTGATTATGTGCTTTTATTATATAAAATGAATCTAGTTGCAGAATTTGAGATTAATATTTTTGAAAGTTTTTATCTTGAACTAATTTCATCTGAAAATATGTTACATTAGAAAAACTGTAAGCAATGTTTATAAAGTTGTTTTAAGTTGTTTTTCGGTCAAGATATCTATATTTATAAAAGAAAGTCGTGTTAGTTACACTATTTATAACTCAAGAACGGCTTTACCGATATGGTTGAAAATTGGTGAGGAGGTAGCTTAGAGCCAGGAGACGGACATAGGATACTATTGATTCTTTTTTTCGAATTTATGCCTTGAAGAGCTGCTTTTTATTTCACTTATCTATATAATAAGTTTGTTTTTTTAATTATCCACGCGGACGGATTCGCTGGCTACAGCAAGTAGATTTATTGAAATTGGAAATTGGCATTAAAACAGCGCCAAAAACATATGTCACAATCTAATAGAGGTGACATAAAAATACTCGAATCGATATTAGATGAATCTTTTATACATTTGTGGACTCTAAGCAATTTAACTTAAATAATTAAAACCGGTAAAGGGTCGAGATTGTAGATAGTAAGTTGGACTCCCGAATGAGACATCCCCGTGTGGTCCCACTTCCACGACTCTCGCATATCGCGATTGAACTTCACTAAGTTATTTTCTAAAACACCAACATAACCACTTTAGTGATATTTCTTCACCCTCGCTATGTCTTTAAATTAAACCATATTGTCTATTTTTAAATGAGACAACACAACGTATGCTTTTTATAGAGTAAGAAGTGCTGAATTTGTATTTTAAATATAAATAAAAGGTGTTATAAAATATGTACCTACAATCCTTACGCTCAAAATGATACTTATTATCGATAAAAGCCTCTACAAATGGATTTATTAATTATCTGGTAGTAATTAACAATTATAAATCTAACCAGTTATTATTAGGAGCTAATACTACAATAACATAATGTAAGTAGAAGCCAAGAAAAATATATATGCATTTACATTATGAACAATTACGTACTCGAGTCACGTGAATGCTCGCTGTCACCCGCCTCCATGTCAAATTGCAGTGAGATAAGGATCTTAATCCGTAGTTATAAAGGTAAATATGGCATGAAACGAATATCATTTGTTATGAGTTATGTACAGTCGAAGATTTTTATTCCATACCCACTTCTTTGAAATGTCATTTAACGCTCATAATGTATTTAGGTCGAAAACATCTTATATCAACTTACATGCGTGATAAAATACAACTTTACAATATTCGATCCTAAGTGGGAAGCCAATTTAATAATTTGACTGTACAAATTTAGTACAATCATCGGGTTAAAAGAGAGTGGCTGAGTACTCATTGCAAAGTATGAAATCGATTAAAATATTTTAAGCATAACGTTAATAAGAACTTTAATATGCGCCAAAAAATACTGGCCACCGTTATAAGAAGGTCGTAAAAATAAATAGTCTCATTATGTAAATGTAACGTGGCTATTCTTCTCACGTTTGCAGTTCAGAAACGCCTAAGGAATATCCGAAAACACGCTTTCATATTAAATGCTACAGATTATAATTAATGAATTATTAAAGATGGACCACCCTGCAGGTAAAAAATCAAATGAACATATGATTTAATACAATATTACGATGAATATATCTACAACACTCTCAATGTTTACTTCAGGTCGTTTGATCTTCAGAAATTATCGTCAGGGCCTTTATCTTTTAATTTTTAAAAACCAAGTAAGTCAAAAAGCATGATCTTCACCCAAAAAACAATTATCAGATAACAAGATGTTCAAATAAAATATTGATTACAATAGTCCTTCGAGTTCACTTGACAAAAGCGATATCCATGTAATGTAATATTATTAAATTAATGAAGTGCGAAAATTTAACTTTTTACTAGAAAGGAAATATGTCAATAGTTATAATGTTTCGTTCTATCATTTATTTTAATCGCGCATCGAATTTCAAAAGAATGACCGATCACGAATGACAGGTGCGTTAGTTTCTCCTTGTTTCTAAAAATTAATGGATTGTAATTAGCATAATATTAAACGGGGTCCCCCCACCCACCCCTGACCATCTACCGCCCCTGACCTGGCTAGGTAAGGTTAAAATGAAGCCATCGAAGTATTGTAGCAGTCGTGGGCTTCAGTCACGAGTAGAGATGTAATCACCGGCCACACAGTCTGGACCGCCTTTGTAACTGACCTAGGCATTCCTATGTGTTTCACTTACTACTAAATATCACTTTTTTGTCGATTAACAGATCAATTTACACATTAACCATTTGATTAAAGCATAAAACAGTTTAGTAAATGAATGATAAATTTACTTTAAGTATGAATATTAACATTAAAGTTGGAAAAATATTTGAATGTTGTATTCCGTATTCATTTAATACTTAAGTTTTTCTTTGATCGTAAATTGAACTCTTACTTAATGGTTAATATTCAAAATTGCGATATATTTTATGTAAAAAAACAATAAAATGAAGTAATAAATTAAAATACGTTTAACTCTGATACGTAGACGTAAAAATAAAGTGTATAAAAACGAACATGCAGGTATTCAATTTATTATTACACCAAGTAAAGGAGACACAAACAAAAAACTTAAATATACTTAAGTTCATGGCGACAATTGCAGTAACAGAGAGATAAGAAACGAACGACGAAGACTCCAGTAACATTCAAGTTTCACCGAATTTATTTATTCCTCTTGTTTTCTTTGATTAAATTCGTCAATGCAGTTCTTGTTTCTTCGCATTCGATAAACTACATTATACGACTTCATAAATAAAACGCAACTGAAGTTAAAATATACCTTTGCCTGCATTTATTTGCAATCGTACCGCGGTTCTTGCGAGCACATTTATGTTATTGAAAATGTTGTGACTTTTATTATAGGAATATATTTTCTGGTTCGACTGAAGTCGTAATCTGACTGTTCAATTAATCATTATTGTAAAACCAAAAGTTGGTAAACAGTGACCAAAATTTACTGTATTGGAATTTAGAGACTAGAAATGTAATGTAAATTTTAACTTTGTTGTTGAGTGTTGTTCTTCCTAATCTGCAACAATTCTAGTGCGTAACCATGTTCCGCCAGAAACAAAGCCTCAAACACAAATCCGGTAAAAGCCAAATCACAGCTCAGCTTATAAGGCATGCATGGCAAAAATCTTAAATAAAATAACAAACGACCATTGCAAATTTCGAATAGTAACCTTCGATCCGGTCAACATGTTAGGCTAACGAGGATCGAATTAAAAAATTCGGTGTCTCAACCTGCAGCCCTTTATCGGTTCGACGCCGCAGTGACGTCACGCACGTTTCACGCAAGAAACAAGGCGATTCGTCACACCAAAGTCAACAATGGACCGCGGCAAGCTTTATTTGTTAATAATGTGACACGCCAAACGAATATAACACGCCAATTCACCGACGATAATGGCGGTAAGCAATATCGCGGCCGACATTTCTGCTCACACTGGAATGCGCTCGGAAAACAAATCTTTATAACATGTGTATAACCCTCCGGTCAGGAGTCATGTTGGTCGAAACTTTTGCTGATTTTAAACAAATCCTGCAAGATTTTATTACCGGTCGTACAATATTGTTATAAAATTTATGAACTGTTATTAAAACCAAAAACCTACTAACCCCAAACGCATAAGATCGTTTTCGCCCTAATAGTAAATTAACTCAAATATAAAAATATCCTGCACACGTATTTTATAATACGATTAAAATGTTTTAATAGTGATGATATGATGTATTCGTTGAAAAATGTAGAGCAGATCTCTCCCACGGCTCTCGAACGTGTCAGTGCAATATTCACTTATCAATTAGCACACACAATGAATGACAAACACTCTAATTACTACACTACGTAAGATGCGAAGATGGTTGACCTCGCATATCTCAGTTCCTCCCAGTTTACCTAACAGCTCTTAGTTTACCTAGGCGATAAGCTTCATGGCTTGGAGTCAATTTTTGTTGAATTTTTGACCCCATTTTGATTTAAGAAGTTTGCTTCATGGATCAGGTTTATACTTAATTTTATGTTTCACTTTAACTGGTTTAAAAATTGATTTACTAAGCATAAATGTTAATCAGTCTACCTACCTTGAGTTAAAGCTTTTATACTATT